AAAATACAAGACAAGCATGGCAAGCATCTCTACGGAAGCAAGGGGCCACAAAGCCAGTCCACAGGTAGATATGCAAGATTACAAGGCAAAGCATCTCTACACAAGCAAGTGAGGGCCTGTAGGTACAAGGCCTAGTTAGGTGCAGAAGCGCTGATGGTCACAAGACGGGAACGCCTTGGTGAAGATATCTGCAGTGTTGGCCTCAGAGACCACACGTACCACGCGGGCCTAGCCACGCTGCTGCAACTCGCTCAGAAGGAAGTAACGAAGCTGGATGTGCTTCGCCTTTTCTACCAGTTGACGCTCCTCGCACAACAGGAGAGCAGAATGTTGTCGGTGAACAAGACTGGGGGAGAGCGAGGCCGCTCACCAAGGTCGGTGAGCAAGAAGGAAAGAATGCCAGTGAAGCTCCTGTGCCGCCATGGCCGCAGCGTACACCTCTGCCTCACAGCAGGAACTGGAAACGAACGACGCTCGAGTCAACCTCCACGAAACAGCTCCAGTCCCAAGGCTGAAGCAGTAACCCTGAATAGACCAAAGCGACTCAGCGTTGTCGGCCCACGACGAGTCCGAGAAACCTGTGAGTGTAACTGGCTGCTTCCCTCCAAGGACAAGTCCCATGCCTGATATGCTCCCCACATACTTCGCCACCCTCTTAGCAGCGTACCAGTGGGAAGGCCAGTGTCTCCTAGGCGCAATAAAGTGCGCAAGGACGCTAAGAGGGTAAGCTAGGTCTGGGCGAATCCATGTCATCACGAACATGAGACAACCCACTAGCTCAGGATATGAACCACTGGACTCAAATGGCTCGTCCAAAGGTGGACCCGTGAGCCCATGATCCACAGCAAGAGGGGTGAGCTGTACCTTGGAGAACGGAAAGCAGAACTGCGTGAGGATGTGCTTGACCATATGTGACTTCGTCCGCGTAATTGTGCAAGCTGCTCTGTCCTGGGTGATCTGCAGGCCAAGGTAGCGCTGCAGCTCACCAAGGTCAGTGCACGTGTGTCTCTTCTGCAATTCCTCCTTCATGGAGGCCAGTGCCCGACAGTCGGGAGTGGAATGTACCCCTTAGAGTACATGGCCACTCAGGTCGCTTCGTATTCCCCTGTACTCTTATTTATATCGTTGTATTTGCATGTTTTTATTATCTCAAGCATTTTACATTCACTCTGCTATTGAGGTCAAGGGCCCACCAACTATCTACCCACGTGCGAACCTTCCCGAGTAGATCCTGGTAAGCGATCATTCTCTGATTCTAACAGAAGCGACATCTCCAACCGTCTGGCCAAGACCGATGCAGGCAGAAACATTTGAAATGAAAAGAGCGGGAACAGGTTTGAAACTGGTTCCCGCGCCGCACGGTTTGAATTCCTCTGGAATAAGGGAATGTACCCCTTAGAAGAAACGGCTAGTCTAGGACGTTTCGCATTCCCTAGTATTTTCTATATAAACTCGCAATCATTTACATTCACTCTGACATAAGTTCAATTCTTCCGCTGCAACACTACCTGCGATCAACCCTGAGCGATCCTTCGCTAAATTCCCACTACAGATCGTAACAAGACCTAAATAAGGGAAAAGCTAGCTAGGCGGGGAGGTCGGGAAAGGTTGTGTCGCGAAAGGTCGCGATTGGTGCGGAGGCGACTCGGTGAGGTTTGGATGCGGAAATGTAGGCCGAACCAATTGAACGCGTGGCCCTCGGGCTGTAATCGCTAAAGTGCAAGTATAGTAAGGAATTACAATTCCTTACCGAGTTGGAGAATCGTTTGTTTCCTTCCCTCTTGTTACCTTGTAACGAATTTTGTCTTTTAGTTTTGTCAGGCTCGGGATGACCACCTCCTCCCGTTCCCCTGCCTGTTGCCTATCAAACAAGGCCCTTATCATCCTCGAGTTGCTCAAGACTGGGCTTGGGTGCTCCATGCGCACTCCGCCGCCACAAACACACCATCCCTCCCCACCAACCCTCCCCCCCCCCCCTAAATGCGATATCTGTAGACTCCGCAAAAAATCGCAGCCAGTGAATCTTGTCCTTGAATCTAGAAATCTGACTTTGCGCTAGCCAATAGACAGCCGCCACGACTTGGATGATCATCTTCATACTGTCGCGGCGAATCATCACGTTCCAGCCGGACCACTCTATCCACGAATCGCCCTAGGGAAGAAGGCGGCGCTCCACCACCAAACCCAACTGGGGGAGAGGACTTAGATTTCGTGTTGTGTGTGGATGGCGCATCCGCACACGACCGCGCGGAAGGAAGAAGCATTCCGCCGGGGCAGCGCAAGAAGAGTCGGAACTGGAATGCTGCAGGTTCAATCTCTGGACCGCTTGTGGGCGACATCCGCATCAACTCCATTCGATTTTAGAAATGGTCAGAATCCTGCTGCTACGGGCATTCAGTGAGCCAGCGCGGCGTCTTTCGCGCACGCTGTGGCATAGCTCAGATTTTTCCTCCGTCGCGCTCACCTGCTGCCAGCGGCGATTACGATCATGGCGCGCCAGTACCTCGTGCTCGCGGTGCTGCTGCTCGCGGTCACCATCTCGACGTCCGCCGTCACAACAACGAAACACGGCACGCTCATTATCAGCAACGCCGACCGCAGCCTGACGGTCGACAATTACACCATCCACGGCAAGACCATCGTCGACAATGAAACCAAAGCCGTTGTCAAGCCAACAAAAAACCCCGACGGTTCGCTCACGGTCGAGGGCAAGTACACGTGGTACCCAAACGGCACCATCGTCGCGCCTGGTGTAACTATCGCCGTCGCCGGCAAGGCCAGCTACGTGCAAATCGCGAATACGAGGCTGTACGGCATTGACGGCGTCGCGAGGGACGCCGCGACAAACAATGTGATCCCGTGGATTGAGAACGACGCCGAGAAGACGTTCACTGCCGGCGACATCACCGGCTGGTCGAACGGCACGTTTCTCGGTTCGAACGGCGTCGTGCTGCGAACACGCCTCAGATTCAAGCCATCGAACGGCACCCGCGGCGGCGGGAGCACAGGTACCGGCTGGGGCACGGGCACGGGCGGTGGCGGAGGCACGGGCATGGGTGCACAGGCAGGGGCTGAGGCACGGGCACTGGCGGAAGCACCAGCCGGCGGAAGCACGGGCAATGGCGGGGCGTAAACGCCAACCGTTCCGCAAGGACTACAAGCTGCTGTCCACCGGCACGGCTGTGGACTCCTCTGGCTAGCCCGTCGCTCTTGTTGCTAATCGCGACGGGTCGTTCATCGTCGACTCGTTTACCGTCGGCGGGAAGTACCCTGTCTGAACCAACGGCACGATCGTGTGTCCCGACGGGTTGGCAGTTCGGTGGTGCGCAGCGACAGTTGGCTGTCTTTCGAACGCAGCTATGTCCTCCTCATACTTAGCGGCCTGGTGGTTGATTCCTCTGAATGTCTCGACTTCACCGTCTACCCCAATGACACGCTCACTACCCACCTTCTCCTTTGCCGTGCCCACTCCCACGCCCACTGCTCAATCCGAACGGGGTGGAGGTGAACGCATTCAGAACAACAACCAATGGCACCATCAGCTTTGCTGCTGTTACTCTTTCTCCCATCCCCAGCGAACCCCCTGTATCTCTTGCTCCCTCCTCCCCTGCACCCTCACCGCCACCACCCAAGCCTGCTGGCATGGTGCTTCTTCCGCGCCTTTGTTCTTCTTTGAGTTGGACATATCTGCTGCTCTCGTTTCTTGCAGCTTTCATTTCAGCCCGTTTCCTCCCTTGTTTCCCTGTTTCCGCCCCCTTTCTTTCGTCCCAGGCAGCCGCGTGCCCATGTCCCCGACACGCTGTTCTTAAATCTCTCCTACGTCACTTCCACTATTCGTTTGTTAGCTCTCTCATGTGACTCCACTCCCGCTATCTCCACTCCGTCCTGCCCTCCACTTGTCAGGTGCTCCCAGTCCCAGCCCCGCACCCAGCCCCATCCCCAGCCCCATCCCCGGCCCCATCCCCAGCCCAAGCACCCCTCCTGCATCTCCTACTCCCTCCTCCCCTTCTGCCCCACCGCCACCACCTAAGTCTGCTGGTATGTTTCTTCTGAGTTGCTTTCCTGCTATGGGTTGGTTGCAACTAATGTTTTCGTTTTTTGCAACTGTGACCTCAGCATGTTACCCCTCGTTTCCCTGCTTCACCTCATCCCCCTCCCCTTCCCCCTTTTCTTCCCAGACAATCACATGCCCTTCTCCCACCCTTCACTTGCTGCCACAAATGGTTTCCTATTGCTCTGATGTGACTCTTGGCCCCACCCTGTCCTCCCCTTGCCAGGTTCGCTCGCTTCACCGGTCAGTGTCCTGGCCACTGTCATTGCTGTTGCGCTCACCTCTCTGCTCTTTGTCTAGAGAAGTGTGATAAACATGAAACTACAGAAGGCACAAGTCAGTGACAAAATCAAAACCGCAGTAGTACCAAATGCAGTGAAGACCCCTCTCATACGGTACGTCATGTCATCACCAGGATGCAAATTAGGTTTAGTTGGTTGTGATGCCATTCGCAACACAGCAGTAAAGGGCGAAGAAGGGATGTTCTTTCCGATGGTGTAATTGCATTTCAGATTTTAGTTGTTTCACATTGTAGAAGGATATGTGCATGCATGACCAAAAACCATGCTCTAGAAGTGGCAGAACAGTGCACCCGGCGTACATTTTCAGTAATAACCCTGAAACAACTGGAAACCGGGATCTGCCTTCATTATCCTAGGCGACAATGCCATTGACCAGCACAGCGTGTACAGAATTGACCTGTCAAGCAACATGCACACAATAGCAGTCGCCAGTCATTCTAAGGTAATCAAAACCACCCCACCTAGGTACTGCAAAACCCTGGCAGGTCTGCCAGCAAAATCCTAGTCACAATCCCAACAGCCCTTCAGAAAGAGTAGAACAGCCAAGTTATAGAAGCTCACTGGCGCTGCTTGCTTGTGTCTTCCTCATGCGATTTGATATTTCCACTGACTTATCAATCATGCTGTTTCATGCTTACCACACTGCTCTACACAAAGAGCAGGGAGCTGAGAGCAACAGCAATGCCAGTGGCCAAGACACTGACTGGTGAACCGAGAGAACCTGGCAAGGGGAAGGGAGGGTGGAGTGAAGAGTCACATGAGAGAAATCACAAATCAAGGGCATGTGATTGCATGGGAAGAAAGAAGGGGGCGGAAGGCAGGGAACCAATGAGGGAAAACAGGCTGAAAGTACAGCTCAAAAACACGACGGCAGTGGTTGCGGCCAGCCCAAAGCAGAACGAAGGCGTGGAAGGAGCAACATACCAGCAGGCTTGGGAGGTGGCGGTGCGGCAGCAGGGGAGGAGGGAGTAGGGGTGCCAGAGGGGCTGGGAGTGACAGCGCCGAAGGTGATAGTGCCATCAGGGCCAATGGTTGTCGTTCTAAAGGTGTTCACAGCCGCACCATTCGACCCAGCGATAGTGCTGTTGCTGTACACCGTCAGATCTCCCGCCGTCACTGCTGATCCATCCGCGTTCACCGTTGGCTGAATCGCCTTCCCTGCTGCGTCCAGCACCGTGCCATTGGCCAGGATCGTCGTGGCGCCGATGGTGAGCCGCCCACCGGTCTCAGCAAAGGAGAGGCCGGGTGCAGTGAAGGTATTGTTGGGGTAGAAGGTGTAGTCTCCACCCATAGAGACAGACCCGTCTGTGTTGTTGCTGGGGGAAACGAGCGCACCGGTAGAGTCCACAAACGTGCCATTGGGGTAGCGAGTGTAGCCGGCGCCAAACGACAGGCTGCCATCGGGGTTGAACGTCACGCTGCCGCCACTGGAAGGAACGGGGCCGGGGAGGGAGCCAGGTGCAGGGGCAGAGCCAGGAGCGCCGACGGTGATGGTGCCATCAGGGGCAACGGCGAACTGCTTGCCAGTGTTGACCACCGCACCGTTGGCGCCCACAATGGTGCCGTTCTCATACCCTGTGATGTCACCCGCTGTGAACGACCCGTCCCCATTATCTGTGGGCGTGATTGGCGCTCCAGTCGCGTCCAGCACCGTGCCATTGGCCAGCATTGTGGTGCTGCCTACTGTGTACCCCAACGTGCCAGCGGTGCTGACGGCAACGCCGGGCGCAGTGAGCGTGCCATTGGGGTAGGCAGTGTAGTCGCCACCGATAGTGAAGGAGCCATCGGGATTGGGAGTGGGGGCGACAGCGGCTCCAGTGGAGTCAGTGACTGTGCCGTTAGCCAAGAGAGTGTAGCCGGGTCCGAATGACAGGGTGTTGTCCGGGTTGAACGTCAATCTGGTGCCACTGGGGTCCGAGGGAGTGGGACCGGGGTTAGAGCCAGGGGCAGTCTCAGACCCAGGAGCAATCTCAGAGCCAGGGGCAGTCTCAGACCCAGGGGCAGTTTCAGAGCCAGGAGCAGGGGCAGAGCCAGGCGCAGGGATAGAACCAGGGGCAGGAGAGGTGACAGTGATGGTGCCATCAGGGTTGACAGTGAACTGCTTGCCAGTTTGGACCACAGCCCCGTTGGCGCCCACAAGAGTGCCATTCGGAAACCCTGTCAGCTCGCCCGCTGTAAACGACCCGTCTGCGTTCGCAATCGGCTTGATCGGTTTTCCAGCCGCGTCCAGCACTGTGCCATTGGCCAGCATCTTCGTGCTGCCAATCGTATACCCAGGCGCGCCGACGAGGTCGATGGCCACACCGGGAGCTGTGAGTGTGCCGTTGGGGTAGGCCGTGTAACCAGCGCCGACAGAGAAGGACCCATCCGGATTGAGAATGGGAGCAACAGGGGCTCCAGTGGAGTCAGTCACCTGGCCACTAGGCAGCATGGTGTAGCCGGGCCCGAATGACAGGCTGCCATCGGGGTTGAAGGTCAGATTGGTGCTGCTGGGGTCAGAGGGAATGGGACCAGGCATGGAGCCAGGAGCGGGGATAGAGCCAGGCGCAGGAGAGGTGACGGCGATGGTGCCATCAGGGGCAACGGCGAACTGCTTGCCAGTGTTGACCACCGCACCGTTGGCGCCCACAATGGTGCCGTTCGGAAACCCAGTGATGTCACCCGCTGTGAACGACCCGTCTGCGTTTGCAGTCGGCTTGATCGCCTTTCCAGCAGCGTCCAGCACCGTGCCATTGGCCAGCATTGTCGTGCCGCCGATCGTGTACGCAGGGGCGCCGGCGACAGTGGCGATAGAAACGCCAGGAGCAGTGACCGTGCCATTGGGGTATGCAGTGTAGTCACCGCCAACAGAGAACGACCCATCCGGGTTGGTAGTGGGCGTGACGGGAGCTCCAGTGGAGTCAACCACCTGGCCGCTAGGTAACAATGAGTAGCCGGGTCCAAAGGTCAGGCTGCCATCAGGGTTGACAGTCAGGTTGGTACTGCTGGGGTTGGGAGTGACGGCGATGCTGCCGTCTGGATTGACGGCGAACGTCTTGCCGCTGTCTACCACCGACCCGTCGGGACCCACAATGGTGCCGTTGGGGTAGGCAGTGTACTTGCCACCAACGGTGAACGAGCCGTCGGGATTGGCGACGGGCTTGACGGGCTTGCCAGAGGAGTCGATCACCGTGCCGTTGGGCAGCAGCGTGTAGTCCTGCCCCAACGACACACTGCCGTCAGGGTTCACGCCTCCGCCGCTGCCAGTGCCTCCGCCGCTGCCAGTGCTTCCGCCGGTGCCCGTGCTTCCGCCGGTGCCCGTGCCTCCGCCCGTGCCCGTGCCTCCGCCGGTGCCCGTGCCTCCGCCCGTGCCCGTGCCTCCGCCGGTGCCCGTGCCTCCGCCGGTGCCCGTGCCTCCGCCGGTGCCCGTGCCTCCGCCGCCGCCCGTGCCTCCGCCGCCGCCCGTGCCTCCGCCGCCGCCCGTGCCTCCGCCGCCGCCAGTGCTTCCGCCGCCGCCAGTTCCTCCGCCGCCGCCAGTTCCTCCGCCGCCGCCAGTGCTTCCGCCGCCACCAGTTCCTCCGCCGCCGCCAGTGCTTCCGCCGCCGCCAGTGCTTCCGCCGCCGCCAGTTCCTCCGCCGCCGCCAGTGCTTCCGCCGCCGCCAGTTCCTCCGCCGCCGCCAGTGCTTCCGCCGCCGCCAGTTCCTCCGCCGCCGCCAGTTCCTCCGCCGCCGCCAGTGCTTCCGCCGCCACCAGTGCTTCCGCCGCCGCCAGTTCCTCCGCCGCCGCCAGTTCCTCCGCCGCCGCCAGTTCCTCCGCCGCCGCCAGTTCCTCCGCCGCCGCCAGTTCCTCCGCCGCCGCCAGTTCCTCCACCGCCGCCAGTGCTTCCGCCGCCGCCAGTGCTTCCGCCGCCGCCAGTTCCTCCGCCGCCGCCAGTGCTTCCGCCGCCGCCAGTGCTTCCGCCGCCGCCAGTTCCTCCGCCGCCGCCAGTGCTTCCGCCGCCGCCAGTTCCTCCGCCGCCGCCAGTGCTTCCGCCGCCGCCAGTTCCTCCGCCGCCGCCAGTGCTTCCGCCGCCGCCAGTTCCTCCGCCGCCGCCAGTACTTCCGCCGCCGCCAGTGCTTCCGCCGCCGCCAGTGCTTCCGCCGCCGCCAGTTCCTCCGCCGCCGCCAGTGCTTCCGCCGCCGCCAGTTCCTCCGCCGCCGCCAGTTCCTCCGCCGCCGCCAGTTCCTCCGCCGCCGCCGGTGCTCCCGCCGCCGCCGGTGCCTCCGCCGCTACCCGATCCGCCCGTCGGGTTGAATGAGAGGCGCGTCCGCAGCACGACGCCATTAGAGCCGACGAACGTGCCGTTCGCCCAGCCGGTGATGTCGCCGGCGGAGAACGAGCCATCGGGGTTCTCAACCCACGTCAGCACCTCGTCCGTCACCGCGTTCCTCGCGACCCCGCCCTTCCCGTACAGCTTCGTGTCCGCAATTTGCACGTAGCTGGCCGCGCCGGCGATGTATATAGACACTCCAGGCGCGGTGATGGTGCCGTTGGGGTACCACGAGTATTTGCCTTCCACCGTGAGCGACCCGTCGGGGTTTTTCGTCGGCGTGACGACGGCGCCGGTCTCGTTGTCGTAGACGGTCTGGCCGTAGGTGGTATAATTGTCGACCGTCAGGCTGCGGTCCGCGTTGCTGATGACGATCGTCGCGCCATTCGCTGTGGTGAAGGCAGTCGTCGAGATGGTGACCGCTAGCATCAGCAGCGCGAGGGCGACGCTCTGGTGCGCCATGATCGAAAATCAATAGCAGCGCGAGAGCGTGACGGAAGCACGGCGAGCGGGACGAGGAATGAAATTAGCCAAAGCATACGCGAAATGCTGCAGTGTGCTACGCTGCTGGAGCTCCCTCACATCAATGCCCCAAGTTGGCAATTTTCTGGCAGAGACAAGCCCGACTAGAGTTGATGTACTGGGCTGGGCATGTGTGGGCGAGGAAGAGACAGAGCGGTGCAATGTGCAATTGGTCAAGAAACGGAGGCTCTTCTTGCTCTGTCTGTCCCCCAACAGGCGGAATGATTCGTCCGCTCGGTCCTCCCCCAAGAAGCTGGTTTGCTGGGAGCGCGAATTCCAGAAGGTCCTTCTTTACAGCGGCCAGCATCATACTTACTCAAATTATGCCTGGAGCGTTTTGCATCCGTAATCAACCAACAATCTCGCGATATAGTACGTACTTTACTTGTATATTTCGTTATGATCACAAATATGAAACAAAGCCGCCACTAACACCTCACCCGCATATACCCATGAAAATAAAATAAGAATAAGAAATTAAATCCTTAGGTACCCTGGATACACTTTAGAAGAATCAACCCTAAACACGGGAAGTCTTCTAGTGTTTAGTATTGATTCCCTTTTTGTCTGCGTTTCTCCAATTTGTTTTATTCTATTTGTAAAGGTAAGGTAAAGGTAGGAGGGGGGAAGGGCCCCCCTTTGGGTTACCCCCGGCTGTCGATCGTTTCATTGTATTTGTGGTTCTTTACGGAAGTCTCGTTCCGACAAAAAGGCACCTAAAAATAATTTTAGGGCGCGTGTCTTTTGCTGTAGAAGTTCGGAAATTAGGTTGAACTTTTGTTGGTAACCCGTTTCGCCAATTTCGCTAATTGTTTCGCTTGCGTATCGTGTGTCCTAGTACAACATTGTAGATGAATTAGTACACTAAACCTGGGTTGAACTTTCAGCTCAAACCATGCGTGCAATAAAATCACTCGTGTGCCCTCATGACAATGCACGAGATACGTGCGAAGCAGACGACGGTCGCATCACAATTCGTACGCACGAACGGCTTCCAAAAAGTGCTCTGGCATCGCCACGAACGCATGAAAAACAATGTAACCTACGTAGGTTGACCGCGACTCGGGAAAGTTCAACTTCCATAGTTGAACTTTCGTGTGTCCTTTGATTCTTGTAACTTGAGGAGCAGCGACTGGGGTTATAACTGCCCATATAGTCAAGCCTAGGACGACCTAGGTTCAACTGCGCATAGTTCAACTCAAAACTTGAGTTTTGCATAGGTTTTACAAAAGACACGCGCCCTTAGGGTACCCCATGTCAGGGCGCTTCCGCATGTAAACCTCGACACCTCGACGCAATTGTTTGTATTTCCGTTCGGTATTCGCGTTCTGTTTCTGTCACATCTCGAACGTGTGATTCGGGTGGAAAGTGTGAATGAAAAGCGAGAACCAATCGGCGTTGAGAATTGGCGGCTCAGTACAAATGCAAACCGCCCCTGGCATAATTTGAGTGTGAATGATGTTGGCCGTTCTTTACAGGGTTAAAGCCCAATGTTAAACTGTATTATGCTTGTAGGCTGTAGTGGGGTAGCCAATATGGGGTACAACCCCAACTAGGGTTTCATATTTGTACCCAAACTTCTGCTAGTTCAATCATTCTTGCCTAGTGATTCTGACATGGTATTCAGAGCAGGAGGTCCCTAGGACCTACCGACCGTTTTTTTTAGGGCCCACCACCGCTCGCTGCGGTTACCACGCTACCCCGTGCCCTAGCCTCGTAGCGCCCTCGTGCGCCCTCGTTAGCGCCCTCGCGCGCCCCTCGTTAGCGCCCTCGCGCGCACCCTCGTTAGCGCCCTCGCGCGCCCCTTCGTTAGCGCCCTCGCGCGCCCCTTTGCTAGCGCCCTCGCGCGCCCCTTCACTAGCGCCCTCGCGCGCCCCTCGCCGAGCCGCCCGCTCGCAGCCCGCCCGCCCGCTCGCTGCCCGCTTCGCGGCCCGCTCGCTACGCAGCCCGCCCGCCCGCTCGCTGCCCGCTTCGCGGCCCGCCCACTTCGCAGCCCGCCCGCCCGCTCGCTGCCCGCTTCGCGGCCCGCCCGCTTCGCAGCCCGCTCGCCCCGCTGCCCGCTTCGCGGCCCGCCCACTTCGCAGCCCGCCCGCCCGCTAGCTGCCCACTTCGCGGCCCGCCCGCATCGCAGCCCGCTCGCCCCGCTGCCCGCTTCGCAGCCCGCCCGCCCGCCCGCTGCCCGCTTCGCGGCCCGCCCGCCACGCAGCGTCGCCCGCCCGCCGTGCTGCCCGCTTGCAGCGCCGCCTGCCCGCCGCGCTGCCCGCTTCCCGGCCCGTCCGCCGTGCTGCCCGCTCGCAGCATCGCCCTCCCGTCGCGCTGACCGCTTGCAGCGCCGCCTGCCCGTAGCGCCAGCCTCGCCCGCTGCTCTCTATCCGTGCACAGTCGCCTTCCCCTGCTGCGGCAGCTTGCGTTACTCTGTCACACTGTCGCTATGGCTTCCATCCGCGTGCTGTCGTTCGATGCTGAGGGCCGCCCTGTGCGTTTCACCGCTTGGCTAGATGACCTGCAGCTGTTCCTCCTGAGCGATAGCAAGGAGCATGTGTCGCTCTATGATTACGCGTCTGGTGCTGCGCCTGCCCCTCCTGCCACAGCTGAGCTTAGTGTTCGTTCCCACTGGCAGACTCGTGACGCAGCTGCTCGCCTAGCCATTCGCAGTCACCTGCCGTTAGCTGAGCTAGAGCATTTTGGCGACTGCAAATCCGCTAAGGCCCTGTACGACGCTGTCGTCGCTCGCTACTCCTCGCCTGCCACAGCCGAGCTTAGCCGCCTCATGCTGCCGTACCTGTTCCCCGATCTGTCCACCTTTACTACAGTCGCCGATCTTATCACCCACCTTCGCACTAGTGATGCTCGCCTGCGTGCCGCCCTTCCCACCGAGTTCTGCGCTAAGAACCCCCCTCCACTGTACTGGACACTCCACTTCATAGTCACCCGTCTCCCTGACACCCTCCGCTCAGTTCGAGACCACTTCCTTGCTCGCTGTCCCACTGAGCTCACAGTCGCCCTCCTAGAGGAGCACCTGCTCGCGGCCGAAAAGAGCATTGTAGCTGTCGGTGCTGCTCGTGGCGCTCCTCGCACCCCCATCTTTGAGGGGTGTTCTCCCTCTCCCCTCGCTCCCTCCTACGCTGCTGCTGCTGCTGTTGACTTCCTTGGTGCTGAGTCTGTTGGCGCTGCTTCTACTCCTGGTGGGAGGCGCCGCACCGGCAAGGGCAAGGGGGGCAAAAGTGGTGGTGGTGGCACTGGGGGGGGAGGAGGTGGGGGAGGTGGGGGGGGAGGCGGTGCTGGAGGGAGCGGTGGCGGGAGCGCTGGTGGGAGTGGGGTCGGTGGTGGAGACGGGGGCGGCGGAGGAAGCAGTGGCAGTAGTGGCGGCGGCGGCGGTGGCGGCGGTGGCGGCGGTGGCGGTGGTGGCGGTGCCGGTCGGAGCGGTGGTAGTGGTGGCGGCGGAGGTCGGAGTGGAGGCACTGGCTCGGGCCAGAGCTCCCAGCAGCAGCAGCGTCCCCAGACGACCCAGCAGCTTCGTGAGTGGCTTGCTCAGCGTGGGACGTCGGGGGCCAGTGCCCGCTGTTCTTATGTCATTCGCACAGGTGACCGCAAGGGACAGACGTGTGGGAGGTTCCACACCCCGTACCGCTGCTTCTCCCGCCTTGACGACGCTTGGCGTGAGGAGATGGGTGCGGATGTTGAGCGCCCCCGCTGGGCTGAGCTCATGAGGGCTGGTGTTGATGTCTTTGCTCTTGACTATGATGCTATTATTGCTGCCATGTATGCATTGACTGTTAGTGCCGAGGGAGACTGTTACTTGTGTGTGCCGCCTGACCCAGGTATAGAGCCCGCTGCCCTGGGTACTAGTGAGTCTGCTCTCTCTGGTATGGTGCCCCCTGTACTTGCTCCCCCCAGTGCTGTCCCGGCTGGTTTCGAGTCTGCTCTCTCAGGTACAGCACCCACAGAGACACCTCTCTCAGGTACCGCACCGGCTGAGGCCTGTCACACCTTCACCCTTGACTCAGGTGCTTCCCGTTGCTTCTTCCGTGACAGTACTGAGCTCACACCGCTTCCTGCACCGGTCCCAGTCTCCTTGGCTGACCCCTCTGGGGGCCCAGTCCTTGCCCAGTCCACCACTGTCCTCCCTTGTCCGGCGGTTCCGTCTGGCTCGTTGTCGGGTTTCCACCTCCCCTCGTTCTCGACAAACCTGGTGAGCAACGCTGTCCTCCAGGATCAGTGGGTTGACACCTTTACCCCTGGCGGACAGCGTGTGGCGATCTGCACGTGCTCCAGGACCGGCCGTCACCTGGCTACGTTCACCCGTCGGCCGGGGTCGAGTCTCTACACACTGACCACTGCGTCTCCCCAGGTAGCTGCTGTCGGTCAGGTGTCTGCGTCAGGTCTGGTGGCCCACGCCTGTGAGTGTCGTTCCCTGTCGCACCAGACTCTTCTCTGGCACCACCGCCTGGGTCACCCCTCCTTAC